TAGACCTCAACCAAAAGTGAGGTCAACAATGAGCCTAAGGTAGAGGGCTTAAGCTAAGAAAATAATAACTTATTTGAAGCCGTCGAATTGGAGATGAAATGATAAGTGTGATCTTGCAATGAGAATTAAATTTTATTTAATTTAACATTTTTAAATTACAAGTTTACCCATGAAATTTTAATGGGCCTAGCAGTGAACTAACCGTAATTTGAGATTATGTAGTAAGGCTTAAAAAAGATAATATAACTATTCACAAACATTTTGAAAATACTACCATCCCAACTCTGAATTTCAATTGGCTAAATTCCTTGGAAAATCAATTTGCCCTTAAGAGCCTCCACTCACATAATTCATAGATAAAACATCGAGTGATAGTTACCCACTCATAAGGATAATTAAAGTATCAAGGTTCATTGAGCATATGGTCTATTAATTCATCGAAAATAAGGGATTATTTGGTTCAACTTATTGCCTGCGGTAGTGTTTTCAAAATGTCCCTGTCCCGTTTTGTTGGAGTGTTTCTACCACGGTGTGAGAAACACCGTTTCAGCTTTGTGAATAATGCGACCTACGGTTGGACCCCCGTGGGCCGCATTCGCCCGCTGCTTATTACCACCTACCCTCGTCCCCCAAGAGCGATCCTCGTTCTCTCGACCTCGTCTTGTCTGCCTTGTTGACAGTATCAGTCACGTTAAAGAGATCAAGCAGAACATTGATCTCGCGCTTGGCAGCGCTTGCATCACCAAGCCCTCACATATAAATTCCCATTCGACATCATCGAAGATCATCATGAGGGTTAAGAATGAGTTTGGGATTGGGGGGGTGGAGGGGGAGGAGAAGAGAGGAAGTTCTTTTATCTATTTGGGAGGGTTTAGGAATGTGAGAGTCACGTATGTATGAAAGAAGAGGTTGAAGTTGGAGCTTGACGAGATGAGGTACGATTTTGGTGCTAGGTGTGAGTTGGAATGCAAGGCTGGAGAGCCGGAGAAGGCAAAGGAGATGCTGGAGGGATTTTTGTTGGAGAAAGAGGTGGAGTATAACTACTCCAAAGAATCCAAGTTTGCGGTTTTCAGAGCTGGAACACTGCTTCACTGAGTAAGTTCTATTTTTCATTTTATTTTCATTTTTTGCTAGTGTAAATCTTCATTTCTGTTGATTTGGTTGTTATTTTTTAATTAGAGTAGTGCTGCTTTAGAAACTAGATTGTTCTACAAAAATTTGATTTGGTTTATTGAAGTCATAGAGTATTATCCAATTACTAGTGTTCTTTTAGTATGTTGTGAATAGTCGTCAATGGCTAATGTTGAATTCTGAATTGCTAGTGGTCTCACGCCACCTAAGAAAGGGCTTGCAAGGGGATAAAAGAAACGGCACAAGAAATGTTGAAGATAGAAAATTTTCTCTCTGATATGGGAAAAAATATTACATCAGGAATCCAAATGCATTCATTATCTAAAGGTGGGGTGCCACGTGTCAAGTGGGCTCAACCGTTTTTAACACTAGCAAATACCAGTGTATTGTGGTGGGGCTCACTTGACATATGACGCCACACTATTGGACTCTGAACGCAAATTATGTTATGATTCCTGATGTAATATTTTCTTTTGATATGGAGGTGAAATAGAGAATGTGTTGTACAATTCCTTCACATCCAGAACAAAGTGTCAAACCCTTTACATGGCCTCTCTTTTTTGTTTTTAAGTTTGGGTCGACCCTATGGGTGATTACATACATAACTGCACGAAAAAAGAAAAAAATACATCAAAATAATAATAATGATATAACAAGGTGTGTAGCTCTTTATATAGTATAGCGTTGTCTTGTTATGTGGCGAATTGATGAATATTATCATTTTTCCTTGTCATTTTAACCTGTTATTTCTTCATTTTTGTTAGGTTTCATGATACTCACTATTAGTTGCGAACACTACAAATTTTGTGTGCCAGATTGTTCATTTAACTAAAAAAATCTGTAAATCAGCTATTTACAAAACACACAAACCAAACAGCTAAACAGCTTATCCAGATTAGAGGTTGAATATTCATTTATCCAGAATCATCTGTTTTTGAATGCACAAACCAAATAATCTGACAACAGACAACGACTTTATATATGCTTAAAAATACAAGTATTTAATACTGTTGCTAAAAGATTTAACTCATCAGCAACGACACCAAAAACTTAACAACGGTTATAGATTCGATAAAGATGTATATATATAATATTCAATAATGGTAAAGTCACACTTATCAACGCAAGTATACGTATCACTGAAGTAATATAGGGCTCTAATGGAGTCCTAGATTTTCATCCCACAGGGAGTAATATTAGAGGCTACGAACTAAGATTTTAGAAAATCAATACCTAATCACAACAATATAATTCAAATTGTTTATCTGTCACTAATAGGCAATTGAGATAAATATGTAAT